CCGTCAGGAAGGCGATTACAGTGCGAAGGGTATAGCGTTCTATATTTTATGCGGCCGTTCAATTACAAAAGTTGTTACGAATGTACTTGAATGAAATTTTATAACAAGCCGCTACCGGCCGTTTTGCGATAGTAACGTTATTTTTTTTTATTTAATATAAAAACCGGCACCTTATAACAGGTATAATATGCAAAAATCAAATCTATCCATAGATATTTCGTGTATATGAACGGAATACTAATCATCAGGACAATGACAAGAACTAACCCAATATTTAGGCACAAATCGTTTTTCCCCATTTATACTATTCAAGATGCACGTTGGAGACATCATGACCACCGTCAAAAGTGTTACTTACAAAAGTTTTTAACCTTAATACATGCTTTTAACCGCGATATAACTTACGATTTTTTCTAGCAATATTTTGCTTTCTTTTTTTTTATTTGTTAACTTGCATTGCTTCATTCGTATCTTCTAGAAGAGTTGAAATGTTCTAGATCTAATGCTTTCAATTAAAACCAATTTCAAAGTAAAAGGCACGAGCGGCTGACTTAAGTCGAAACGAACCGTAGAAATAAATCAGCGCTAAACAAGGCAAATAAGACACATACACTTCTTATTCTTGTATCTCTTTATTTGTTTCTGATTTCTAAATTATTTTTAGGACATGTTATAGGTCCTCGAATGGACAGGACTTCCTGTAGATTGACCCCGTTTCGTTGTATGGCTGTCGAACACAATAGTTGTTAATTGTAAATAAATTACAGTTTCAAGAAAAATCATAATGGCAGAAAAAGCCACAACATTTGAGCCAGCTGAAGAAAGATTTAGATAGCTTGTCGCAAGTAGGTTTCCCTTCGAAAAATACTCTCTAGAATTCGAGGGATACACGTAGTCGTATTCAAATTTATATGATATAAAAAACTTCGTAATCAGACGGACTTATAAACAGGTTGAGGTTAATGTTGGCTACCTCTTTGCTGTATTTCGAAAGAAACTGAGGCATGGCATTGAGGTTTAAGGTTGTCATCAATACCCCGACAGGGTGTCTTCAGTTGCCGTTATAACAATCAATCAATCTACTGAAGAACACGAGATAGTTGGCCACATTTATTGCTCTATTCTCGGTGAGTATCCATAGTAGCAGATGCTTTTGATGTCTATTGCAAGTACTACCATCATCTTGCTACAGAACCTACTCGGCACTGATCCGACCGCAATCCTTCTATAGGAGATCACCATTTTTTGGTCTTTCCCCGGGTAGCGGTATGGATTGACCCACCCTCATCTCCAACGAACGTATGCCCCAAGCAAATATTTTGTTAATTAAAGTTCTGAAAATCGCAGGTGGAATACACCACACGTATTTCCAATTGACTTAAAGTAAATTCAGCGTTTTTTTTAATCAGTTTCGACATTTTCAACGTTTGACTTACGATTCAGTAACATGTTATATGTAAAATGCCAATGTTTGTCAAAGACCTTCCTGATTGCGGCAATGCGTCCTTGTTCTTCAGGTCCTGATACTTAGTCTCTTTCTCCCTGATTTTTAGCAATTTAATTTCCTTTCTTGAGACCTTTGCACCATTTACGTACTATGATTTCTTTGGCTCTCCTTGCCTATTGTCTTCACCAATCTTCAATGATTTCCCGCGACGTTGTGATCTTCGAATGACCAAAAACTTGATGATTTTCAAAACTAAAAGATGCTTTCCCTCTAAACTCATTTCTCCTAGAATAAACTCAATCGGTTTTGCCTGCTAGCGGCCTCTAATTCTAAATTTATTCGATTTTCAGGTACACCGGATTCGCCTGTAACAACGTAATAGCATAAATGTTCACGGCTTAATCTAGAAATAATTATAATGATTGAAGTCGCGAAGTGACTCTCCGCTAGCTATCCACTTGTTTAATCTTTACCATTAGATTAGCAATCAAGAATGAATACTTTGTGTGGTATACGTTAACTTTAACCTCCTGAACTGGCCTTCTTCGCAGATTGTGTAGGCCAAACTTGACGCAGAAGCAGCTCGACTTGCCACAATGGCGTATACGCCTATCCAAGCAGTAGGCATGGAGGTGGTCGTTATTGACCAATGAAATTAAATTGATCAGGAAACTAGGCAGGACAACTCAGTTCGCTAAATCCTATTCCACGAATGGTCAAAATTATCTGTTTTAGAGGCCAGTAATGCATTAACACCTGTGAAAGTAGTGAAAATCGCGCTTTTCTTCGAACAATAACATTCACTATGTATTCTAGAAACCTTATCAGTCCAATGTTTATCTAGTCCTTAGAATAGGAAAACCGTAACGTCCCACAAAGGCGTGAGCCATTATGAGTTCTACTATATTGGTCTTAGATATCTGTGAATAGAAGTGCTTGGGTTATTTGAACAGTATCCGTGATAGGGTAAAAGTAAGGCTCTGAAAGGTATATGTCGTCGCCGTCCAATAATATTTGGATCATAAAAGATAGAAAATGAGTGAAACATGGCCATCGATACCTTCTTCCTGCTGATGCATTTCCGGCGCTAGCTTCTCACGAATTAGCCAAAGGTTACATCTCTCTATCGTATACATATATATGCTAAAACAAATACCGCGGTATCTATCACAGAACAATTGGAAAAAAAAACCGGCGGAAATCAGCGTGATCTTCAAAATCAGGTTCTGTCTTCTCCTCAAGGTCTACTGTCCACAAATCTTCTCTTGATATCGATAACGTGCATAACAGCCTAATCTGCAAAAGGCACCAACATTAAATGCTAAACTTGGCTTAATTTACGCCGAGCGTTATGTCTATATTTTCGTAACGATGCCTACGTCTCCAAAGGTCCCGTACGACTGATCTTTCGATAGGACTTCTGAAGCGGAGCGACCTATATAAAATGTTCGAGTATTTTTCTATATATATCTAATCAGTAACACATTTTGATGAATACCCTGACTTCTAGATTTAAGTGCGAGTACGAGTCTTGTTCGTGTCCGAAAAAAAAATACATATTGGTACTATTAGTTTGTATAAAAACACTAAACACACTAACACCTTGAAACACAATTTTAAGTTAAAATATATAACTAATTACTGAAAATGCCTTTAGGGAAATATTTGTGTCAGTTAACTAAGCATAAAATCCCCGAAGGCAACGATAGGACCTAAAAAGGTGTTTACTTAATTTAATTGAAAATGAATCGTTTAAAAAATTCCATAACTTTTTCGGGTGACGAATATGAGATAGTGCACTTATCCTTTCGGTCAAGCTTAGATTGCAGACTAACTGAATATTATCAAAAATTCCATATTGTTGGTGCAAGTTTTTCAAGCGTTTAACGTACTTATAGCACCCAGTTTGTATGCCTCCATAAAATACTACTATATGGCATCTTTTATTGCAAAATTCTCCTATACAAATCGTGATTATTATGCGCTAACAATAGATAATATGTTGATGAAGGACAAGTAACAGAGGTCACCTAAAGTTGATTGGACTTCTTAGAAATATTTTGGGGCTGCTGAAACAAGTTCATGTTAAAGAACTGCGGGTGGAAGTAGACTATTATCATAGACCACAACAAAAATCCATTGCAGTTACGACTCCTGTACTCTATATTCTTGTGCCTATCGTTATCGGGAGGCCTTCGCGTTTTGTGAATTGGCCCTTTACTCAAGTAAAAAGTAAATCTGAAACCAAACTCAATGTCTTTCGATAGGTAAAGAAACACATTTTCCTTCGTTCTATACGTTGTTATCCCTAACCATTCATCGTCGGAAAATTTTTAAAATGCGTTTGTTACGACTATTTGATTCCAGGGAAGATACTGCCGGAGACACGCTATCTGCCATCATTCAAGCTGTTACGGAGCTTTCGATTACACCTATTTTAGCCTTCGCAGCTAATAGCATAGCATCAAATCCACAACAAATCTTGAAATGTTTTTTTTTTTTACAAAATCAACGATTCCGTGACGCTCCTTCACATCCAGAACGTGTTATGCTGTGATACATACGAACTGTAGCCTTAACACCAACTCAATACACGCTTAACTTATTGCCTAGGGTACAGTTAAAGATAGCATTTAAGCTTTAGCTTACATACAACAATGGCAATTTTAGCTGACAAAAGGGACAATCGAACGTCACATTATCGTTATAATCTTAGATAATTTCTCGCTTAACGTAAGTTGGGTTTGTGAGTGAGTAAATAGAAAAATAATGAAATTCTTCGTTTGTGGTAAGCGTATTGAACTGTTCCATGGAAGTAACCTACGCAACATTTTGAACGTTAAAAGATTATATTCGCTTATAGGAACCTTGTGTTAGTGCGACGTTTTGGAGAAGGCTTGTTACATTGCTGGTCCGTGTTACAGATCCATCGTGTAGGCACGGTAACGGTTTGGCACAAATAGAAACGACATGGGAACCCGCTACGTAGCCACAAGGGAAATGACTGAATCCTATTACGCTATGATCTCAAACCAGACTAAGATTAAACTAAATTCTAATCTCTGATATGACCAAATATCAAATATTGTATCTGGAAATAAACATTTCGAAGATATCTGAACGGGAATGGTGGTGCTCGCAAATTATTTATTTAAGCGAACCTGCAGATTGATACCTCTTCATAGGCGCAGCTGCTCATATACGGCAAGCTTATTACAAGAATATAAGCTCGTCAGTAATGTTTATGTTGATCTACCTTACGTACTTCAGCAACGGCTCTCACTACTCGAAAAGTCTAAAATGACCAGAGTAATGCTAGCCCCTTGCCTATAAAAGTACTATTAATTGCAATATTATTAATAACTAATCTTATATATGTCTGTGTGGGCGATCGGTATATATGTGTAGCTATAAGAGTATGCTATGGCGATATACGCTGTAAATATTATGTAGACATAACTTGCCTGTTTTTCAAGGTAGAACTATGAACAGAACAGATCATGCTCACTCTGGCAATAGTTCCTGTAGATAGAAAAAAAAAATAGCTGTGAGATAAATCTATGAATACGCTTTTATTTTCGCTCCGATGTGAGGTACAATAGAGTTGTCTGTGCTGTGATCGGTCGCAGCAGTGCTACGGTGGTCGAAACGTATGCGTGCATGCCATATATGTAGTGATAGACGTACGTAAAAATAATAAAACCAATTTAAATTATAGAGTTATTGTAAATGGCCACAATTTCGTTCGAGCTGCTTAAGAGTGACGCATAGTGTTATCAAGCTAAGTGGTAGTGTGAATGAGTCGTTCCGTAATCGCAACAAGGCATCTGTCGGTGATGAACTTCGTAGGCGCTGCGAAGGCAATGATACCGGCGGCGGCCTCGGCGGTACCCTATGGATGTTCACTGCCACCGGCCCTGGACTTGCAGCGCTTTTGGTTCACTTCCCACTCGCATTCGGCCCCCCTAAAGCCTTTTTTGTCAGCTTATTCCCTTCTCTTTCGTCTTCCACTGCGTCACTTGCGATTTTCGGATTTTCCCAGTCCACGCCTACGTTTCCGCTTTCGGCTTTTCTCCCTCCCGCCGGCATTCTGATGTTCTGCGATTCGGAACAGGGGGTACAGGAGACAAATACAGCGCGCTCTAATTATTTATTACCATCGAACCTACGATATCCGCCAGTGCTTCGATCAGGCTTGACGCCAGTGGACCCCTGCGAAAGAAAGTATCAAACGTTTATCCAACAACATTTAAATTAATGCTTATATCTATATTGTTTCAGAGCTTGATTATTTTTTATATGTTTTTATTAAAAATTTACGAATAGATTAAATGGTGAATAACTTAGATAAAAAAAAAAAGCGATTACCTGGTAGTTCTACTACATTGCCAGCTAGATCACATTGCTGAATTTGTCAGAAAGTAGGTATACTCAATATATATAGTATAACTTACATTTACATTTGTTGTAAGCAAAGACTTGAACCACTAGTCTTTTTCTTGCTTCTCAGTTAGAATTGTAATACAAGGTCGGATATTACGACTGATAGCCAGCTACTGAAGAAGAGGAAACTTTTAGATTTTTTTTTTTTTATAATATTTAGTTCAATAGAATAACATTCATCTGATTATTGTTCGCGTGTGGTGAGGCTTATTATGAGGAACACAGAAGTACATGGTAAATCAACCCTGGATTTTTCATTTTGTGAGGTTCGATTTTTCCTGGGAGTTTTAAATCGCAGCATAAAATCTATATTAAAGAAGGTTTTGAAAGTACAGTTATAGACATCTGTAATTGGCGTCTGTGCAGTCTGCTAGAACCACGCACCAAAAAAGGCTTTTTAACTTTTCAAGAGCATTATCTCCCTCTCTCTCTATATATGTATAATGTATCCATTAGTGTACTGAAAAACTGGGTTAAGCATGTGACTTTCAGCGTTCCTAGAACGCAGTGAACACACAGGGTCTATGAAATAAATTTAAGGACAGGGACGTCCTTAAGCTAATTTTACTAGCGCTTTGAAAACTATTGAATAAGCAAGGAGAACCCTCCTTGATGTGAAGTGCTACTTTATTTGGTATGTAGAGCTCCTCTAAAAAGACCATGATAAATAATTTTACAGGTAAACTCAAAAGTTACTTTTCAGTTGGTCACATGCTTGCCTTAAGTGTACCTAATAAAAAAACAGATCCTTTTAGTTTGGGTCTATAAATTTTGTTTTCTCGTAGCTTAAGTTTCTCCAGCGGACCAATCTATTCCGCTACGGTGGGTATGCTGGCTTTAAAGTTATTTATCTCGATCGTTAACATTAATAGGCTTATATGTACAAAGGGAGTGTAATGAGTATTTAAATTTTATGATTATCTACTATTTAAATCTAAAAATTTAATTATCGCATTTACATGTACTCTACGCCTATGCCATCACGCAGAATAAATAAAATACTATATAAGTAAAATAAAAATAAATAAAATATTGTCAACAACTATATTTTAATGGTCAAAGCGTAGAAATCTCGATGCACAGTTCACATTACACAGGTACCAGTAAAGAAGAGCAGAACTAAATACCTACAAAAAAGAAGTTTCTATTTTATTAGCTCATGCCTGAACGACTTAAAAACAAAAATGGGCTAAAACCCCGGCCCTGTATCCCAGGCTTGTAGGCTTATTTACGCCCGCTTTTCAACTGCTCGGTTGGTCTAGGGGTTACACTCCTTCTGAACCTGTTCCTGGTTCTTAGCTTTACTTCCGCCTCGTAATAAATCCGCCTTTTCTGCGCATCTCAGCTGCTTCCCGTATTTTTTTGTGCTATAGATACGCGTACATATATTTATGAAGCAGCTGACTATGCCCTTCTCTAAAACTGGCTTGTCTTCCATTCTACACACTGTTGCACCTTGTCGAATCTGATTGTTTTCGAAAGATGACACATACATGTCCTGTTTAGTAGTCCGCGTCTAGCATCGCCATTGTAGTGGGAGTTTTGCAGTTTCGTGCGTGACGTTCGTTTACAAATGACCCAACCGAGTAACACAAATTTTCATATTTTCTTTTAGTTTTTTATTTTTCTGCATTTTTTCACTGCCGCTGTTTATGAAATGAATATTGCCCTTTTTCTCCACAGGCAACTGATCTTGTTGCCTGCTGCCATTGACACAATTTACTTCTTTCGACGATACATTCAATCCTAGAAGCGAAAAGTTTGCAGATGACAAGTAGGATTTTACCTTAGTAGTAGTAGTAGAACGGTGGCATGAATTGTCGCAAGCTGTCGGTGCATTTCCCCAACAAACATTATGAAACGCCAGGGGACGCTAGAAGAGAGACTGAGCGCATGTGGAGGAAAAGTTGTTTAAACGCAAACCTGGGCAAAAGGGAAGATCGTGTTCTGTGGATGGCTGCAAAAATGTTGACGCATCCATCCATTAGAAGCGACGCTTCCGTCGGCTCTAAAGGCACAGCCCTTGCGGTGAGCATCTATGCAGGTTACGGTAACATCAACGCCATTCCCGGAGCTATGGATGCCCTGACCAAGCAATGCACCGATGACATTTTGTACGCCCTACCCGGCACACTAGATAGCAGTTACGTTGTCATAAATCCCTTTGCTTTCTCTGTTCTGCCTTTTTATGCCTTCGAACAGAAGCATGAGCGATCGGACGGCCAGACCTGGCCCAAGCCGTTCGCGTGAGCGCGGGATAAAGTTCCCTACCAACAACGAAAACGAAATCTTTCTGCAATAAAGGCAGATGCAGCAGCGATGCCAACGCATAATGGCAACGAAAATGAGAGTAAAAAGGACGAACAGGGCAAAGAGACAAAGTGAGTGAAAGAGAGGTAGAACCAAGCAAGTAGTTTTTTGTTCCTATCAAGACAGATAGAGAGACTCATTACGCCAGTGCTATGCACCGCTCCATGTGTTTGTCATTGTCGCCACGTGTAAATATGACAATTTATGTTAACATTAGCACAGGTATATCACATACGTCAACAGTAATAGGCCTATTACCAAAATCGTAACTATCGTCTTGTTGCCTCGGCTTCTTATATGAAACTGTTAGAATAGCCCAGCTAAGTGAGACCATGCCCGACTCGTCAAATACATCTACAAAATTTTTCTTTGTCGCTGTCAGTGATGATGATATCTTTTTATCTATGCGTGTAATCTTTAAGGTTTTGTTAAACCTTGGTACTGACGGACATAGAATGTAAAAATGTTGACATATTCTATTCGGAACCTAGAGGCGACTGCAACTAGGAGTCTTTAGCAGTTTTATAGCCTACGATGTTCATAGCGGGTGCAGGGGATCATTCAAAGACAACTGGAAACCTGAGCGGATTTTATATGCACTCCATGTTGTCTGAGCAAAGTTTAGTAATGAATAGCGGGATTCAGAATTCCGTCACGAAGGGGAAGTGCTTTGAATATATTTGCAGAAGATGAAAAAACCCGTTCAGTAAGATACAGGATTGATCGGTACTTCTTACCCGTCTGTGCCATTGTATTCCAAAACGATTGGCCTGATTCTTTGTATCGTAAGTTTCAACACCCTGACTATGCTAAATGTGTAAGAAAAAATAGCTGATGAAATTTTAAGTTGTTTAGTTTTAGGAAGACAAGGGGCGTCTTTGTATTTCGTTAATAGCTGACAGCCGGCTATCATTCAGTCTTTAAGTTTCCGAAAGAGCTTCACTTTGCTATCTATTTGTACATCCGTCTGTAGGACTCTTTCTTCCTCTAGTTAAATGCGTAAATCAAATCTTCAGTAGCTATTTTATACACAGGCGGCAGTCGAATGCCATGTTTAACGATGACAACGAATGCCCATATTAAGTCTCTAGGAAATAATGCATCACTAAAAAATGCATCTTAAATCAAAGCCTGAGATCGACAAATCAGAGCACAAGCCGAACCCCATAAAGCATATTAACAGATCATGGTTTCGTATACTTAACCAACTAATTATTTCGGTAAACAGCTATAGAAAAAATATGCGCAGCGTCTTTGCCAGTCGTTTAGACGAATACGAGTAACTATTTAAGTCAACGCCATGATTATTTGTTGTATAGGTATCACAGCACGTGTCTACCTAGCTGTGCAATTAAACGTGTTACTGCTTTTAGAAACGAACGGCAGTTAGCTAACGAAGTTCGGGGGTGGCTATGCTATTCGACCGATTTTTGACGTAGGCCTCAAATTTTTAATTATAACAGGTCTCATGAGCGCCACTTTTTGAAGCCCGTGTATTTCATTAGTTACTAACCCATATTCATCAGCTTTGCCAGACCTATACTATTTTATCCAACTTTGGCCACTTCTTTTCCACAAACTTTTCCAGTTTATTCTAGGAGCACAACGCTCTGAGGCGCAACACGCATTTTGCAAACGCAATTCTTCAGTGAGGTAGGCTATAATAGCCAATTTTAAAGCGTTTTGAATTTGTGTACGTTCTAATGAAGTCTACGCCTTATACCCTCTATATTCAAGCCGTATATAGTATATTTATTTATATTTATACTTCGTAGTTTTTTGTGCATACCACGTACTATTCGTGTCTTGGATTTCTTGAGAATCGGCATTGTCAATTATAGCTTCCGTTAGTACTTCTTCTTAATTCTTCTTAAATAGTAATTCTTCGTAGTATGTCATAGGAAAAACAAATCGGTTAAATTGCCATGTCAATGCCGGTTCTAGAAATTCTAGAAACCGGCCAAACGATTAACAATCACTCATATGTTTAACACGACGCCAAAAATTAAGCGGCTACCATAAGCACTAAATATATGTCGCTGCAGCTTCAGCAGATTAGTCAATGATGGCAATATTAGACAGAGGTTTCTTAGCACGGAATATAGTTTTTTTTTCTCATTTGCCATTGACTTTGCCTGAGGATGTGCTGGTTGTGGCCTTGACTCGATCTAAGTAATAAAAAGTAATATACAATAACTTGCTAAAGTGTACACTTCTTGTTCTGCACACTATACTTAGATCACATAGAATGGGATCACTAAAAACACTTCAACTGATAAACGTTTTTCTATCTTGTCTGTAATGTTATCAATACTATCATCCAAACTACGGTAAAAAATAAAATTTGCCGAGAACAAACTCATTCACAGAACATTACATCGTTTAAAAATAAGTTAAAAAGGCTTCTTTCATTATCAATCGATGACAACAGTGAACACAATAAAGTGCTGAAGACATCT